TGAAGATGAAAGCAATGTACATTAGTCTAAATTCATTGATTATATGGAAATTGATTTTGTGATTAAGTCCGATGACGAAGTTGAAGTCTACGTTGTTGAGTTTGAATTTGATGGAATGGAAAAATCTTATTACATTGAAAATGACAATGTTGAAGTTCGAAAAAATAACGAAGAGTGGAGCAAAATCAAAAGAAGCAAAATGAGCAAGGCATCAAAAGCTTTTTTCAAAGTTCCATGATGCGAATTGCCAACGTCAAGCTATGACGTTAAAGGAGGGCATCTTCGGAGGCAACCCAAGCTTTCTTCCCTTCTATTTATTTTGTTTTCGAGTTATATGATAGTTTAGTTTATTTTACTGTTTATTTAGGAATCATCATCCATATTCTGTCTTCCCCTAAGTCCTTGAGTAATTAAGTTGGTTATTAGATGTTTGAGCTAAGTAACCCCTGTTCCATATATTTAATATCTAAAATTTGATTTTTCAGGAACATGACGTCGTGAAACTCAAACCAACATTAACAAGGAGAAAACGGGATAAATTTTAAATTTGGGGGAAAAGTATGACGAACATCCATCAAATCCAGCATCATAAGCACCAAAACGTCATAGGCAATGCAGATAATTCAGGGAAGTCTTCCTCACTTTTCTTTAATTTTACACTGGAGACTAAGTTCAATTTAAGTTTGGGGGTGTATTATAAATGATCTAATTGCCTAATATTTATTTTTTATTATTTTGTGTGATTTGTGTGCATGTTTTAAGATAAATAAATAAAAATAAAAATAAAAAAATAATATTTTTTTTGGTTTTGCATGCTTGTGTGAGTTAGATAACCTTGTCGACAATGATGTATATTATTGAGGACATGTGTTAGTTTATGGATGATGAATAGGTCATGTGTTTTAGTTAAATTTTTATTACTTATTCATGCAGAACGTGAGATACCTATGTACACGCATTGATTGTAGTATTGTACATGAATAGGTTGATCCATATTTATAGGTTGAAATAGAAAACTTAGATGTTAAATTCAAACAACCACTGAACCACTAAACATTATTATATCCTTAAACAAAATCTACGATGTTTTGAGTGGTTGAACTGTTGTAAGGAAACTTGAAGATAAATGTGGATTCCATGTA